TAGAAACACAGCGGAACCAAATACTGCAGCTCCTTCCTTGAGCAGTATCATTATCTACTCATGACACAATCACTGGCAGCTCAATTACATATATTCAGAAACATTCCATCCTATCTGTTAAGAACAGCACTGGACCCTATGTGCAGTATGAATGTATAGAAAATAGAGAAATATCCTTATGGAACTTATAAACCACTTAAGAAGATGACTTATGAGAATAATATGAAAACACTATAATAGCTACCACTTACACTGACAACATGCCAGGCACTGCACTAAACCCTTTGCATATTTATTCCTTTATTTCAAAGTACTTAAGACATGTACTTTACACTTTACATAGTGTTTTGTCAAAACAGGCTGTAAATTAGACATCGTTTTCCTAACATTTTAAAGGAAGAAACTGTTGTGCCCAAGGCAGTGCGGATGGTCTCAGGACCTGGCTGACCCCAAAGCCCACCTTCCACCCTGCACCGCCTGATCCTCAGTGACTATCACAGTCAATTAGATGCTAAATTGTACAGCACAGACACATGCTAAGAAGGAAGCATTTACATAGTGGCTAGAAGTCATAGGATAAAGTGTCATAAGGGAGGTGACCAAAGGAGACTGGTCAAAGACCAGTTTGGCTTTAAAGAACAATTAAATAGGTAATTAGAAAAGGCCTAGATATTCTGAGTATCAAATCATATAAACCTTGTGAAAAGGTCAGGAGGCAAGAATAGCATGTCGTAATTAGGGAAACAAGAGGAAGATCGGACATGAAGTACAGCATTTTAATTTTACACATCTTCACATCAATGTGTAAATGTGACTTAGTCAACATAATGTCAACTTAATACCAACTACAACTTCCAGCAGTGGATTCCAGAAGCCTCTGGAAAGGGATGTGTATTATAATGCTATTATAAGTACTACAGGTAGAAGAAGAGAGGGAAGAACTAAATTAGAGTCCAGATTATCAAACCTCATTTTGTTTTATTCTGCACAATCAAAGCCCCAAGGAAATGTCTTGATTCATAACTTCTCAAACTAATACATCAATCTAGGCTCTATATAATAGCTGAAGCTTGCTATTACCATTCCTGTGCCATATCAACCAGGAGGATAAAAACCAAACAGTCCAAGCAGATAAACTCGAGGATTACATCTCCAGATATTAAAAACTGAAAGCGTCTCTAGGTTCTTCAGTTCTTCCTGCTTTGTCATCTGCTCACTTCAAGCCGACTCATCCTGGAAAACCTACTTCCGCCCCCATCTAGTATGGCTCCTGCTCACCTTTTCCACCCAAGACTGTTTTCATCATTAGTCTTTCTGACAGAAAGAGAATGGAGAGATGCCTGTGGCTGACCTCAAATATAGCCTAAGGAATAGCTGAAGTGTAAGCATCCACTCTTTTAAAAAATAAAAAATGAAGTAAGGAAAGAAATAACTAAGCTCACACCCAGGAGAAAAAGCAAAATAAGCACCCTTCCCCAAAAAAGAGATAAAAGAATAGAACAAAATATGCCAGGGATCTGTCTGACTCAATGAAAGATATAATCTCTCATAATTATGTTTGTCATAGAAAGGGACAGAAAGTAAAATCTAATGAATGAGTCGAGGATAATTAGTACAGTCAATTCATTGGATACCCATAACTCAAGGTAACGTTGATATTTTGTTTTTGTTCAAAGAAAGGGATGGGAATGAAATATGTAAGCAGAAAACCTAAATAATACATAAGGCAAGGGGCAATCTGTCAGCCTTAGCATCCAGAAAGCCAAAGGGTTAATGCATTTATGAATTTTAAAAATGTAGGAAAACATCAATTTCATTGCCTGTAACCTGATGCCAAAACTTTTGCATGTGTTCTTGTTCGTAGCACCAGTGACACCAACAAGTATTTACTGAGCATTTGCCGTGGATCAGATACTGTTGTGAGCACTGCAGAGAACACAGCATCAAAGGTGACAGATGAGGCCCTGTCCTTATGGAGCTTATGCTCCGCCACAACAAGGAATGATAAATATGGTTGGACCAGAAAGCAAACCATGACTAACTCTCGGGGACAAAGAGTCCTGCCTTATAAGGCAGAAGCTTTCTTGCTACATTGCAATTTTACAGACAGCTGAATCTTTTCCAATAAGAGAAATTCACTGGGGTGTGTTTAAGAGGTTTGGGGGGCTTTAAAGGAGCAGAATGGGAAATAAAAAGGCAAATCTCACCAAGTCAGGGAAGAGAAAATGTTCTGGCTCTTTGAACCCTGCCCATCCAGGAAACACAACAATTCATCTGTGGCTTTGGTACAGAAGAACTTGGTTAATATGACAAATTTCTAGGAAGTTCTACTACATTCAGAAGTAAAATGGGAAGTAAACAATATTTGTCTTTGCTGTTCTCTGCCATCTGCCTCATTCACTGTGTCTTCTTGTGTCTTCTTTTTTTTCTCCCTTTTTCTATTTTGAGATTTTTTAAATTTTCAAAAACAAATGTTTTAACTTACTAGATGCATGCAGTAAAAAACAAGTACATTTTCAATTCCTTCATATTATCCCTCCTGTCTTTCCCCTATTAGTTTCCTCCTTCTTTCTCCATCACTCTGTGGTCCCTGGCTTCTTACCACTGCCCTCCAACTCCCCTTCTATCATTTGCAGGGAAAAAAAAAAAAGATCTGTAGCATAAGAAAAGATGGAGTCTAGTAAGACAAAGAATTGACAGTATGTTATATGTGTAGGTAAGTCCATTTTATGTGGATTTGTCCCTTTGAGTATTAAAATGCTTTGTGTGAATAAACTCACTAGAACTAAAGTTGCTAGACATAACACTTAGAAAATTGTGAAAGTAAAGATTTTTACATTTTTTAGCTGTCTGAATATATTCTTTCAAAAATCCTTTTTGTATATATTGGAGGACTTGCATGAGACAGAGGGGGAGAGGGAAAGGGAGGGGTGGAGAGAGAGAGAGAGAGAGGAGAAAATGAATTAGCCCTGTCTTTTGCCTTTCACCAGGGGGGCCATTTTCAAATGTTTCTTTAAGCAGTGAGTCTGGCCTCTCCTAAAATTGCTTTTATCCTATTCTGCATGCCTAGAACTCCTTACTTCACTATCCCCCAGCCAGGCTCCCTGCAGGGATATTGGGAATGAGACCATGGAAAAGACCAGCTTTGGAGTCAGACTGACTTACCCTGGAAGCCCAGCTTCATGTCTTATTAACCCAGTGACCTTAAGCAAATTACTTACCTTTTTTAATGGTCTTCTCATCTGTAAAATGGTGCTCATAAAACCAACCACTTTATATTGTCATAAGCATTTAATTATCTAATCCATAAAGGTATTAATCATACTATATAGTAGATAGTTGCCATTTAATAAATCATATATATGATTTAAATATACATAAGTACACACACATATCTATACACCCCATCTGCTTATAATTTTCTCACATACACAGGCAATTTACCCACCTGTCCTCAATGCCATTCTCCCAGAGTTCTGCCCTTGAAGCATTTCTATTTTTCCAAAGTCACAATTAGCTAATGTAAGAATCTAATTACTGAGAATGTGTTAATGAGAAAGGATAAGAGAGAAGAACAGTGACTACTGCCTGCCAACTCAGATACTCCTCAGTGGTAAAATATGGCTCTTGGAAACAAAACTGCACTGAAAGTTGCATGGGCCAGAGCAGCAACTCACAGTGTGAATTTTAAGCAGCATCCCCTGGACACCTACTGTAGTGGCTCCTGGTAACTAACTGCTTCTGTTACATGTTGATTGATACCTAGGCCGTCATTAATTTAAAAGGAGGTTAAAAACACTTAAATGGGCTGTGTGTCCTTTTTAATATAAGTTAAAGTATGTGCAGAGATATTGCATTTGCCCAGAACATTCTACAAAACATATAATAGTTCCTAGGAAAATAGGGCCTTGGGGAGATTAAATGCCCATGTAATGTCTTTGATGAAACAAGACCTAAAACAAAATTCTCTTTCCAAGTCAGTATTTCGAGACCATAGTAAGTTGATTTCATGAGGTGTAACTACGCACAGGAAGTCCTGCTTTGAAAACCTTCATCCAAAAGATCAAAAAAAAAAATCTGTGAAATTGGCAATGGCAAGAAAATCAGTCACACCTTTGCCACACTAACAGGAAAGACTCTTAAGTAATGGACTTGGTGCCTGGCCATCCGAGTCAGCCACTTAGTCATTTTTCTAGACGCTATCCATCATTGAGCACATTCCCAAATTTCATGTAACCTAATTTAAACATCTAACTGGCATTTCTGATGGGAATAAACATTCCATCAAAGTAAAAGTTTGACAACCCTGCCACCTAGTGGCTGCTAGGAAACTGGGGAAGCTCCTGCTTGGGAAAAGTAGCTAGCTAGCTACTATGGCAGTAGAGAATTTAATGATTATTAATAGTATAAAATACTAACTCTAAAAGCAACCTCGATCTATTTTGTCTTTGAATTTATCTTGGTATCTACACAAGGAGGCAAAAAGACCTGCATCTGTTAGGTACATTTTCCTGTAATCTTGTACACTTAGCAAATTTTTACTAATCTTCAGAGATCAAATAAGAACACTAAAGGTTGATTCATATTTTGAGATATTTATGAGCCTTTTCCTTAATATTGTATTTACAACCACATCCTTTACCCAGTCTTCAGGTCCTTTTTCTTATGTATTCCCCCATCTGGTCATGCATTCACAGAGGCCCCCTTTAAGCCACTGAAGCATCCTTAGTCAAAGGGTAGTTGTACCTTTACGAACCAGCAGTTTTCCTTAAGACAGGTAAAAGAACACATGTAGAAACCCCTATAGTGCAGATCTGAAAGTAAAGACCACAGGGAACGCTGCGGGAAGTCACATGAACAGACAGGTCCACACACACAGCACAACCGATTTCTGCCCTAAACATTGGAAGGTAAGCATCCGCAGGCCTACCTAAACCTGACGCTTCAGCACAAAGCCTGAAGCGTTCATCTCCTCCACCAAGGAAAGGTCCGACTCCTACCTGCTGACGTTTGAAGGCTAAATAATCCAAATTTTCCAGCTCCTTCCCAAGCTTCTGGTAGGTTTTCTGGAGGTCAGATGTGTTGGAAACATTTTTAAGAGACTCAAGCGTCCTTTGAAACTGAAATCAAAAGCAAGAGCAAATCAGTAGAATAGCCGCGTATTTTTCTTCAAATTCCTAACTAGCTAATACTGAGAAATAGTTGACAGTAAACCCCAGTTTCTCCCATTCATAAGACAGAGATAATAAATGCTAGCTAATTGCCTCTCAATAAAATAATTAGAAAGTTACTATGAAGAATCGGAAACTGTACAAGCAACACATTGCATAAATGAAAGCCCATTTAGTCCTGACTTCAACAAAAGAACATACTGGATTTTAAGAAAATAAAACTCTTCATGTCTTAGCATACACTGCTACTTTTAAAGAAAAAAAGTGCAATGAATGTATCATTTCAAATTATAATAAGGAAGTGTTAAAAGAGCTCTCACATTCCAACCATGGAGACAAATTTACATAAAAGTAGCTCATTGCCTCTGTAGAAACATCTATGAAGAACAGGCACCCACCAGTACCCACTGGACTTCAGCCAGGAACACCTCTCAGACCTCATGTTTTGAGGAGGTAAAAAAACTAACATTTTGATGACTGAAGCATATGTAGCATGTTCAGCAAACATTTATTCATTTCTGTCTTATAACACCAATGAGTTATGAAATCAGTTCTGCTGAATCAGAATGTTTCCATTCATTTTTAAGCCAGATACCAGAAAAACACAAAGGAGACAAATTGCAATGGATCACAGAATATTTTTCTACCAGTAAGTAATTAAGCAAAGGGAACTCACAAGAAATTAAATTCTTGGTTTATTTTAGGAAATTAGAACATACTTTGGAGGATGATTGAAAATGTCAAGTAATGTCATTTACAAGACATTGGCACTTTCTCTTTATGTTATTTATTTCCCATATGCTCACTGTGTGCCATTGGATAGATTTCCACATTCAATAGAGACTTCATCTTAAACACACCAGAACTCTACTGTGACTACAATGCTATGAGATAGGCTAATAGAATGTTACAGAATATAGTTAAGTTTCCAGGGAAATGATTTGACCCTTACTATTTCAACCCTATAGAATAAGTCATATTATAATGGCATTTCACTGTATTAGATCCTAAATTTCATGAAAGCAACATGTTTATCTCAATCCAAGGTGGCAGAAGAAAAAGAAAGGGGAAATAACAGTCCTAAGCTTCCGCAGCAGGACGGTAAATTACATTCCACAATGTAATCTCTTAGAACCTACTACACACAAGGCACTATGAATACAAGCACATTTCTTGTGCTAAACAAACTTACAGACTACAGGCGAGGCCAAACATGAAACTCACAAATGAGAAAGACTGACATTTGCGTGCCTGCTCAGTGGCAGGCACTTGGCACTTTCCAATGTATCCTCACCGAACCCCAGAGCTCCCACTTCTCTATCCATTCTGCCCGCAAGTAAACAGGACTCAGTTTCAACTGGGTCTTGACTACAGTGTTGTGTTCTTTCTGCTCTATCATTAGCTCTAACATAAGAGTGAAGAGAATGCAAAAAAAGGAATAAAAGCAACATGTGATAAAACAGCCAAAACTCACTGATATTGAGAGACTCAAGCCACATAAAAGACATGAGGGAAATTGATTGGGGTCTCAATTCACAGGAAGAATTTTCAGAGCTTTAAATAGGAACCAGTCCCATCCATCAGTTTAAAGATGGCCCAAGTCTGATCATCTTCTTCCCCTTCTGTAGCAGAGTAAACACATTTCTCTTAACATAATTTAATAACCATTATACTAACTGTTTATTATGTTATATGATCATTTCCAGACCTTGCCATTCTTGGGTCCATAATCACTATGTTCAAATCAAAATAATACCAGATCTAAAATCTTAAACAATTTGTGTCATTTTACCTATAAGTAATATAAACTATTTTACCAATCAATCTGTTTCCTAAGAAAGATTAGCTCTACTTTTTAAATATTTCTTCCTCACATTTATGTCTGTGAACTTTTATACAACTCCAAATAGAAACTTTAGGGTTAACACAAGTTCAGAAACATAAAAAACAATAACTCCAGATAATCTGTCCAGGGCCAAAGAAGAAAGAGAAAATCCAGTAAGGACACAGCACCACAGAAGGTTTTCATTAAAGGTCAGAGTTGGCATAATGTGGAGCTGTTAGCTCGAACTTTCAGTATCGGGACTTATGTCTCCCATTCATTGATACAAAATAGCTCAGAATACTCAAACTAAGATGATTCATTCATTTAAGTGGACTTTCTTATTTACAAAAACAAATGATTGTCAAGGAGAGGTCATACAAAATCCATAGTGTAACTTTGCGTTAGATCCCTATTAAAAGCCCCATCAACATCTACCCACGCATACACTTAAAGATTCTAAAGAATGAAAGCAGTAACTTTACCATGCAGATGAGAAGATAAAAATAAGACAATGGTTAAGGTGAGGTTTAGATTTTCTGTGAAGATATTTGATATTGACTTAATCGGAAGATTTTTCATTCCCATAGGCCACTGTGCTGGATCACTGAGAGAGACCTCTTGAGATTTTCTACATCAGTTCAGTCCATTGTAATTTCATTATATTGACTATGTCTCAAAATAGCTTATCTCTCAGTTTAAGTTAGTAAAGGAAGCACAATTAATCAAAGAGATTTTAATATTCCTGCATTCTGCCTGTTCAAAGTTTTGAGTGGTAATTTAAAATAATTCAAGAACCCCAAATAATTTGTTGAACATTGAATTTATCTGGTGTTAATATTTTTTAAAACATTTAAAAATTTTTAAATTACACTTTACATTCAATATTTTGTATTAGTCTCAGGTGTACAGCATAGTGGTTAGACAATCATATACTTTACTAAAGTCTTCCCCCAATATTTCCAGCACTCATCTGGCACCATATGTAGTTATTACACTATTATTGATTAGATTACTTTCCTGTGCTGTAATTTTTTATTTAATTTTTACTGTATTTTTCTGTTACCATTTAGTCCCCTTGCACCCTCCTGCCCCCAGCAATCACCACACTGCTGTCAATTTCCATGAGCTGTTTTTCCTTTTTGCTCAATTCCTCCACTCCCTAACCACCCACTGCCAAAAAGCTATCATCCTGTTCTCCATCTATGAGTCCGTCTCTACTTTGCTTGTTAGTTCAGTTTGTTCATTAGATTCCACACATGAGTGAAATCATAGACTATTTGTCTTTCTCTACCTGCCTTATTTCACTTAGCATAATGTTCTCCAGGTCCATCCATCCACTTTTAACAAAGGGTAAAATTTTTTCTTCTTTTTTATGGCCAAGTAGTATTCCATTGTGTAAATGTCCTACAGTTGTTTTATCCACTCATCTATTGATGGAAATGGGCTGCTTGCATATCTCAGCAATTGTAAATAATGCTGCAATGAACATAGGGGTGCATATGTTTTTTTGAATTTCTGTTTGGGTTACTTTGGGTATATTCCCAGAAGTGGGATCACTGGGTCAAAAGGCACATGCATTTTTAATTTTTTGAGGTATCTCTATACTGCTTTCCACAGTGCTTGCACCAGTCTTCATTACCACCAACAGTGCAAAAGGGTCACTTCCGCTTTCTCCACATCCTTGACAGCACTTGTTTATTGATTTATTGATTATAGCCATTCTGACAGGTATGAGACTATAACTCATTGTGGTTTTTATTTGCATTTCTCTGATAATTAGTGATGTTGAGCATCTTTTCATATGTCTATTGGCCATTTGTATGTCCTATTTGGAGAAGCATCTATCCAGGTCCTTTGCCCATTTTTAATTAGGTTGTTTGCTTTTGGGGGGTTTGAGGGGGTTATTGAGTTTTGCAAGTTCTTTATAAATTTTGGATACTCACACCTCATCAGATATATCAGCAAATGTGTTCTCCCATTCTGTGGGTTGCCTTTGTATTTTGTTGATGATTTCCTTTGTTGTGCAAAAACTTTTTAGTTCGATATAGTCCCATTTGTTTATTTTTTGTTTGTTTGTTTGTTTGTTTCTGTTGCCTGGGGAGATACATCCAATAAAATAATGCTCTGAGCAACATCCAAGATTATGCTGCCTGTTTTCTTCTAGGATTTTTATGGTTTGAGGTCTAACATTTAAGTCTTTAATCCATTTCGAACTTATTCTTGTGTGTGGTGTAAGACAGTGGTTGTTTCCTTTTTTCTATACATATCTGTCCAATTTTCCCAATACCATTTATTGAACAAACTGTCTTCAGACCATTGTATGTGCTTGCCTCCTCTGTAGAATATTAATTGACTATAAAGATATGGACTTATTTCTGGCTCTCTATTCTGTTCCATTGACTTATGTGTCTGTTTTTATGCTAGTATCATGTTGTTTTGATTACTATTGCATTATAGTATAGTTTGATATTAGGTAGCATGATTCCTCAAACTTTGTTCTTCCTTCTCAGGATCACCATTGCTCTGCAGGGCCTTTTGTGGTTCCATATAAATTTTTGAAATATTTGTTCTAGTTCTGTGAAATATGTCATTGGAACCTTGAAAGGAATTGAACTGAATCTATGGATTGCTTTGGGTAGTATGGACATTTTAATAATGTTAATTTTTTTCTATCCATGAACACAGTTTGTGCTCCCACTTATTTGTAATTTCTTCAATTTCTTTCTTCAGTTTCTTATAATTTTATGACTACAGGTCTTTTAAATCCTTAGTTACATTTACTCCTAGGTATTTTATGCTTTTTGTAGCAATTATGAATAAGACTGTTTTCTTACTTTTCTTTTCTGTTAGTTCATTACTGGCATATAAAAATGCAACTGATTTCTGGATATTAATTTTGTATACTGCTACTTTGCTATATTAATTTATCAGTTCTAATAGTTCCTTGGTGGAATCCTTGTGGGTTTTTCTATGTATTGTATCATGTCATCTGCAAATAGAGATAGTTATACTTCTTCATTTCCAATTTGGACGCCTTTTATTTCTTCTTCTTGTCTAATTGCTGTGTCTTGGACTTCCAGTAATATTTTGAACAAGAAAGCTGAAAGTGAACATCCCTATCTTG